ATATAAAATATACATATGGAACCCTGGTGGTGCAGTGGTTAAGAGCTTGACTGCTAACCAAAAGGTTGGCAGTTTGAATCCACCAGCTGCTCCTTGAAAACCCTATGGGGCAGCTCTATTCTGTCCTATAGGGTTGCTATGAGTCAGAATCGACTCGACAGCAATGAGTTTGTTTGAATATACATATACTAGTATACATAAGTAAAGTGAAGTATTATAATGACACATGCAAAGACCTGGAGATAGAAAACCAAAAGGGAAGAACACGCTCAGCATTCCTCAAGCTGAAAGAACTGAAGAAAAAAGTTCAAGCCTTGAGTTGCAGTATTGAAGGTTTCTGTGGGGAAAATATTAAACGATGCAGAAAGCATCAAAAAAAGATGGAAGGAATATACACCGTCACTATACCAAAAAGAACTGGTTGACATTCAACCATTTCAAGACGCAACATATGATCAGGAACTGATGGTACTGAAGGAAGAAGTCCAAGCTGCACTGAAGGCATTGGCGAGAAACAAGCCTCCAGAAATTGAGACGTTTCAACAAACGGAAGCAGTGCTGGAAGTGCTCACTCATCTATGCTAAGAAATTTAGAAAACAGCTACCTGGCCAACTGACTGGAAGAGATCCATATTTATGCCTCTTTCAAAGAAAGGTGATCCAACTGAATGCAGAAATTATCAAACAATATCATTATAATATTACACGCAGGTAAAATTTTGCTGAAGATCATTCAAAAGCGGCTGCAGCAGTATATCGACAGGGAACTGCAAGAAATTCAAGCAAGATTCAGAAAAGGACGTAGAACCAGAGATATTATTGCTGATGTCAGATGGATCCTGGCTGAAAACAGAGAATACCAAAAAGATATTTACCTGTGTCTTATTGACTATGCAAAGGCATTTGACTGTGTGGACCATAACAAATTATGGATAACTTTGTGAAGAATGGGAATTTCAGAACATCTAATTGTGCTCATGAGGAATCTGTACATAGACCAAGAGGCAGTCGTTTGAACAGAACAAGGGGATACTGAGTGGTTTAAATTCAGGAAAGGTGTGCATCAGGGTTGTATCCTTTCACCATACCTATTCAATCTGTATGCTGAGCAAATAATCTGAGAAGCTGGACTATGTGAAGAAGAATGTGGCATCAGGATTGGAGGAAGATTCATTAACAACCTGTGATATGCAGATGACACAACTTTGCTTGCTGTAAGTGAAGAGGACTTGATGCGCTTACTGATGAAGATCAAAGACTACAACCTTCAGTATGGATTACCTCAGCATAAAGAAAATAAAAATCCTCACAACTGGACCAAAAAGCAACATCACGATAAATGGAGAAAAGATGGAAGTTGTCAAGAATTTCATTTTACTTGAATCCACAATCAGTGCCCAATGGAGGCAGCAGTCAAGAAATCAAATGACACTCTATACTGGGCAAATCGGTTACAAAAGACCTCTTTAAAGTGTTAAAAAGCAAAGAGATCCCTTTAAGGACTAATACGTGCCTGACCCAGGCTGTGATGTTTTCAATTGCCTCATATGCATGGGAAAGCTGGGCAATGAATAAAGAAGCCCAAAGAAGAAAAATTGATGTCTTTGAA